CAAGTCAGCAACTGTTTCTAAAACCATCCTTATTTTTCTCCTCCACTTTGCTCCCTGTAGCTTGGCAGCTAAATTGGAAAAAAAACACAAAAAAATAATTATTCTGACTTTGTAATTATAAAGTTTTAACATCTCCTGTAGCCAACAAATAGCCTCTTGACACAATTTATAGTCTTACTATAAACTAGAAGAAAATATCTTAATAAAAATAAGTTTGAACATCTTAGGGTTATGTAGTTTTATTAAACTTTTTTCATTGATTTCAGCTGCAATATGTAGAGAGAACAAATAAATGTTCAGATGCTGCACTGAAAACTGAATCTGATGTTAGAGAGTAAAATTATGATTAGTATCAGAAATCCATAGCAGACCTTTTTTAATAATCAGATTAAAGACTTTCAGTTCTTAAAAATGCCCTTCTCGGTTTCCTCCAGCCTCGTTCTCCCCTGGGTGTAAACGCCACCGACGCTGCGGCAGGAAGAACAATCATCCCCAAACCTTTGACCCCGTGTTATTTAACTCTATAAAACGGAGCTCCATAAAACAAAATAACGAGATGCAGCACCGCTCAAAGCCAACAAACAACACAAATACCACAATCATCCAAACTTATTTTGCATCGTCTTTGTTCAGCGTCCAAGGAAACGCTGAACAAAGCGTTTGTTCAGCAATCATCAGATTGCTTCACAGCAATCTGATGATTACCTGCTCCATCATTGCTGCTGAAGCCACTCCTACTGTACAGAACTGCTGAGCGATTTTCAGAGATGCTGACATTCACCCACAGAAAAAAAAAAAAAAAAAAAAAAAAAAAAAAGGACCCCCCCCCCACATCATAAATTGAAAATCCCTGGAGGGAATTTGCTTTGCTTCATTTAAATGGGAGGCGGATAAACTGATATGGAATAATGTGTAAGGCAGGAGAGAAGATAATATTACACAGAGGCTGCAAAAGCTCTGTGCTTATTGAGAGGCGCCTGAAAGGAGCCCAGCATTAACAGCACAAAGCTGCGGTGAACTGGGACAGAACTTGATTGAGTTTAAGGGTTCCATATCAGTCGGTATTGATAACTATTGATTAGTTTTTTGTTTTAAATACTGAAATACTGACAAATTATTTACACGACCGCTCCTGTCTGAAGCTGTGCTACTCATTTCCTCCTTGAGCAGCGAGTACACGAGCTAGATTGACAGTGCCAAGACCCTCCTCCAGGCTCTGATTGGCTGTTGAAGTGGTACAATTCTTCAGAGAGTAAAGCAGCTCAGAGAGGAGGTGGAGGAGGTTGATTTTTTCACAGATTATCTGTCAGAATAGCGACAGTTTTTTTTTTTTTTTACATATTTGTTAAAACTAATATTTTTAATAAAAGTTACGTACTGCAACTACAAATGTTGTCTCTCTACATGGCTGGAGATGATCACCAGCCTCCCCGTGATCCTATAAAGATAAGTGGTGATATATATACACACTGCTCAAAAAAATAAAGGGAACACTCAAATAACACATCCTAGATCTGAATGAGTGAAATATTCTCATTGAATACTTTGTTATGTACAAAGTTGAATGTGCTGACAACAAAATCACACAAAAATCATCAATGGAAATCAAATGTATTAACCAATGGAGGCCTGGATTTGGAGTCACACACAAAATTAAAGTGAAATGTTCCCTTTATTTTTTTTTGAGCAGTATATATATATATATATATATATATATATATATATATATATATATATATATATATATGAATAGTGGAGCAAACTCTGCTTTCACCCTTTCATAAAGGGGGATATTAAAGTTTACGATGACAAAACAGCAACACAATAACCAAGATGAGCAGGTTAGAAACATGATTTGTGTTTCTGCAAAATCTGTTAAACATTTTCAGCGTGCCAGAGGAGCGCATCCTGCAGGACGGTTTGTTTTCACATTAAAATGTCAGCGTGCAAATGGGTCTGATGACGCGTTCCTCTGCAGACGACGTGTCAGAAGAGGAAAGACTAACAGCTTGTGCAGGGGAAAAAAAAAAAAAGCTCGTTGCTCTTTAGCACTTATGCTAGATCCCTGCATTTCAGTCATGAGGTTCATTCTCTGGAGAAAAGAAAACACAATGATGGAGTGATGCTGTTGTAAACTACTTCTACCGATTTAGATAAAAACGTTGCATTTCAGGGTAAAGCACTACTACTTCTATCATAAACTAGTGGTGATGTTTAGTATTAGTTTTTGCCTCTTTCCCCCCCTTTTTTCCCCATTTTAAGAGCATAAGCAAAGCCACTGCGTGTTGTCATAAACACATTCATCACACCTTTGCTCCCAGAAGTGAACACTGTCAGACAAATAAATGGAAAGCACTGAAAATGACCTTCAATGGCAGTGCTGTCACTGCTGTGAAATATATTGATTAAATTACACTCTTTATGTTTGTGTCGCCCAAACAAAATCCATTAATCAGTCCAAGGTGTTTAGGTATGAATTGTACCCCCCTGAAACAAAGGGAGCTCCAGATAAAGGAGGTGCTATCCGAGCGGCCTCCGTCAGACGCAGAAAGACAGAAGAAGGATTAACGAGTGACACGATCTGTTGTCTGGTTTGTATCTGCAGCTTTCAGCCAGACAAACGCAAACACAGAGCTTTAAATTCAGTCACAGAGACGACGACTCGCTGAAGAAAAATGAAGCGCCGTCGCCCGGTTGGCTTCCCGGCTCTCTGCGCCGCCTGTTAGTCACGTTAGGGATGGTTAAAGGGCCAATCTCCAGAAAGCAGATCGATGCCTTTTCAGGTGGAGAGAAGGTGGGGAATCAGTGGAGAAAAGGGGCTTGGCGGCTTTGCTAGTAGGAGTAAAAATCCCCCTCCCAGGATACCCGAGGTCTCTAGATCAATGCCCAGGCCTAAATGGGCGAGGAAGAAAAACGGTGAAGACAAGAGAGACGAGGACAGATGGACTGAAGTATCCTGCACCGATTGAACAAAGGCAAAGTGGAAAGTACCTTAAAATGAGCAAAGTGCAGAGAGAAAATGAGGCCTGGAGCAGAGGGTGGGAACACTGGCCGTAAAAATAATTGGAGAGCGGAAACCAAAAAAAAAAAACAAAAACTCTACAAACAAGAGTGTCAGACTCTTCTGGAGGAGCTTCCATTCCTGGACAGCACAGAGGCGGCTGACAGACGGACCAAACATCTTCAATTACAGACCTCAGTTTAAGCTCGGGATTCTGCTTTTTCAGACGAATCGTTCTTTTCTTTTCTCATGGAGTCCTTTTTCTGCCTTCAGCTTTTTGCTTACATTTCATACATACGACAAAGAACAACCCCAGCCAGCATGCCTAGGTGGGCCCCATGTGGGGAAAAGGAGGGCAGACTATATGGGTCCCATATGGGTTTGTCCGCGGGTTCCATGATGGCCCCACATGGGTTTGCCCATGTAGGGCCAGAGCCCACATGGGCCCTGCATGGGCCCTATATGGTGGTGGCCCACATGGGTTTTGTCCAATTAGGGCCCATGTAGCACCCATGTGGGCTGTGGCCCTACATGGGCAAACCCATGTGGGGCCATCGTGGAACCCGCGGACAAACCCATATGGGACCCATATAGTCTGCCCTCCTTGTCCCCACATGGGTCCCACCTAGGCATGCTGGCTGGGAATGATATCAGCCAAGTTTAATAAACAAGAGCTATGTTGATCAAAAGCCTAAAAGATTTCCGTTAGAATAAAACTTTGAAACGACACTACTTTTCATGCTCGTTTCACAACAGAGATGCAGCTTGGATCTGCTCTCAGAAACGTCCACGTCTGTCAGACGGCAGATCACATGATGTGAAGAATGGGCCCAGGCGTGTCCACCTCCAGTCCTAGAGAGCTGCCGTCTTGCAACATTTAGGCTACGTTCACACAGCAGGTCCAACTTTGTTGCTGAATAAAAAATTTTTTCCACGGTCGTTCATACGACTAAATAACCCCGACTGCAGTGAGATGTCTGTGTGAACGGTTTGCGTCCCCAAAGCGACCCACATGCGCAGAAGAAGAACGTCGACGTCACACAGCAGCACTCCGTTTATGGAGGCATTCGTGGATCGATTTTAAAGTTTGTTTAGCAACAGGAGCCAACAGTATCATCGCAAGAAAGGACAACTAATTATTTAGCATTATTGACTGCCGCGTCTTCTGCAGAGAAATCTAGTCAGAACCAGGAGTGGTCCGATTGTGACCGGATGCGTTTCACTGACACAGACTTCTTCATAAGTTCAGAATCATAATTTTCACCTGGATTTACTACATCTTTGCTTCTTCTGGTGCAGAAACATGACGCACGTCTCACATCAATGACATGCAAGCAGGAAACAATGTGGCCATTCAGACTCCAGACGCTTTGGAAACAATCAGAGAAATATCCGACTTAGTTCCACATGTGTAAGTGGTGCAAATCAAATTTTTGGGAGGAGTGGAAAGACTGCGGCAAAAAAAGTCAGATCTTTGTCGCATTTGAGCAAAAGAAAAAAAAAGAGTATTTGGGTCGCATTTGCCTTCTGAACGTACTGCTTCAACAAATCAGATTGAAATGGTTGAATTCCCTCATTAGCTTCATTCAGTCGTTCTGCAGAAGTCTGGAAACGAGTCATTCATTTAAATCCCGAGTCGAGCAGGTGAGCGCTCAGCCAACTGGAGGCAAATACATCTAAATAAAACTCTGTGGGATTTTTTTAATTTCTGTTCTCCAAGTTAATGACTAAAACAACAAAGCCTGAGAGTCAGACAATAAATAAGCGTAAGAGTTCTTGTTTATTGATTGGTGTCTGAGTCACAGCAGTCTGGTAATAAAGAGCCATGAGGACGTGGAGAATAAATGGTGCCTTGCTTTCTGCACCGTGTTGCTCTAACGACCAAGATACTTAAATCCCAATGAAGCATTTATCAGAACTGTGAGGGTTCTGGCATCGGGAACTTTTGCCCCCGGAGCAAATCACGACAAACTGAAGCAGAAAAGACGAGCGGCCTTACTCTCATCGGGGTTCGGTGAGGCCAGGATGGCGCTGTGCTTCCTCTTCACCTCTTCCACTTTCTCTGCCAGAGTCTCGATGAAACCCCGGATCTCCTCTACCTGACAGCAGAGAGACAGAGAAGCAGTTTAGGCTTTACATTGAGACGGGAAGCCGCAGCGGTCGGTCCGATGGATGCTGACAGACACTGTGGACGTGGATTCTCAAACCAGAGTAACTCTGGTTTATAAACACAGGAAAAAAGGTGTAACTTTACAACGTGATTGAAAATGTTCTCAGCAATCCTGGTAAAACTTTTCACACAGAAGACAACAATGACACAAAAAATATATATAATTTCCAGTCAGAAGTTTGCATACACTTGTCATGACCTTCCTAAAAGCTCAATGTTGAAATTTTTGTTTTTAATTTAAAATCCAGTTGGGATGGATATTCAGGATCTCTGTCCTGTTGGAGCACCCAGTGCTGTAAAAATATAAACTATCGTTGATTGTTGATACCAAAGGCAGCAAAACAGACCCTCAGCATGATGCCACCACCACCATGCATGAATGAAACTGTGTTTATTGTGGCAAGTGTAGCTCAGTCCTCATCTTCTCACACCGTAAACTTTCTTCCCGCAGGACCTCAGGAGAGCAGTGGCAAAATGTATCTTTAGAGAAGCGGCTTTTTATTGATTTACCGGCACTTTTTCTGCCTTTTTTCAGCTGATGAGCTCAGCTGAAAAAAGTGATTCCTCAACACTGTAAGAAAGTTAATAATACTCATAATAATCTTTACTGTTATTATAGAAACCATGTAATGAAATTACAGTAATAAAATTGGGTGATAAATGGCACTAGGTGGCATTTAATGCCCTTATGGCTGCTGGGCATAAAACTGTCAGTCTGAATGTTTGGGTCAGATAAGTGATGGACACAATTTACTGCCCAGCAATGATCTCAGAAGCATATAGAAAAAACTGCAGAACGTGAAAAGAAGTATTATTTAGTCCATAAATATGAAAAAAAAAAACTTCAACAATATCAAAATGACAGAAGGACACCAGGCCAGTAACTCAACTTGTTGTGGCATTTTGGTGTTTAAAATTTAAAATCCACATATAACAAATTCCCCTATTTGAAGGAACATTAGAAATACTCTTTGCATTGATCTTACACAAAAGCTAAAATACACACAATCCTTACTATGCACTGCTTCAAATAATTTTTACTTTGAACTCTGCGTCGTCTGCAAATCCAGGTCTGACATTTTACCCGGTCGCCTCCCACCTGCTGCCTCGTCACCAGCTGCGCTGCTCTGGGCCACCGCTTGCAGCTGGAGGAGCAGCGGGTCACATCTGCCGGCGACTTCATAAATCTGAACTTTCATCTCAGACTGTCGAGCTCCTCATCGCTGCCTCCTCCTTTACACCTGCTCCAAATGTATTCGTCTCCACGATGCAGTTGTCGTTTCTCCCTGAAAACCGTCGCCTGTCTCCTTCGCTTTCGCTCTGCCACATTCCTGAGCCCGACCTCCCCGAGCCGGGGTCGTCCCTCTCAAATCATCTCCGTAATTAACTGCTGATTGAATCTGTTTTTTTTTTTTGTTTTTTTTTTTTTTTTAATAAAAATATTGGCTTTAAAATGCCACAAGAGAGAGAGACTGCACACTGGCAGTTCATAAAACTTGAATGTGTGTCAGGCAGAAATAAAAAAAAATAATATGGAAACCAATAAAGAGAAAAAGGAAGTAGAAAGTGAAACTGTTTAGAAAAGGTTTGCTAGTGAGTCATGGTGCACCTTCTAGCCCTCAAAAGACTAATTTTATTTACGTGGGAGAAAAAAAAAAATTTCAGAGACTCCTGAGAATCTCATTTAAATGCAATAATGCCTGAGCGCGCGCACACAATGCACACACACACAATGCACACGCACACAATGCACACACACACAATGCACACACACAACGCACACACACACACTGCACACGCACACACAATGCACACAAGCTAGCACTGCTAATACCATATCCAATTTATTAAAGGCAGAGAACATTTGCAAATCCAACCAACCAACCAACCAACCAACCAACCAACCAACCAACCAACCAACCAACCAACCAACCAACCAACCATCTGTCATGATTTGTCGTTCAGTTTGTGCCTCAAATTCATTAATGCGATCATAACAACCCAAAAGAAGCTCCTGCTGTTGGTAAATTACTGACACTCCTGGTAATTTCTACTTCTAAATTACATTGTTAATTTTTGAAAACTGTGCAAGTTATTATTTTATCAATAAAGCTTTTTTTGTTTGTTTTGTTTTCCCAATGCATTAAAAAATAATTTCCCACAAATGTTCTTTTAGCAAACAGAAATAACTTTGGGAAGCTCAACTCAAGTAAAACCTCAGACCGACGGAAACATGTTGTGTCCTTTCAGTCGGTGACAGTTCCCAAAATAATTCAAGTTTTTATTTAGAATTTTTTACAGCTTTCTTCAGTTTTGGATACATTTTAATAATATTTTTTAAAGACTGACACGACCTGTTAATGTCGTTATGTATCTTCCTTCGAAAGTTAGCTGGGATTTTGCTCCTGACAGAACCGGTGTAACCCAGTCAGTGGTGTCGGCTCACACACTCCCTCTTACCTTTTCAGCTCTTCCAACAAATTTTCAGAACAGCTAAGATGAGGATTTTGCGACGGCCACTCCAAAACACTAACTTTGTTTTTTCTTGAATCACTTAACAGCGAATCTGGTGTTATAATTATTGTCCCACTTTGCATTTGTGTAACATTATTTACTGTATATCTTCTTATTTCATGTATGTAAACTTCTGGTTTCAGCATTTTATCATCCTGGCCTAAAACCAGGACATGTGAACATTAAATGTGTCTTTTTAAGCACATTATATGTGCTTAAAAAGAACATATGTGTATGTAAACATCTGGTACAAGTGAATATAGAACTCCAGATAGAGGAATAAGAAATATTTTTTTTCCATTGAGTTTGCCATTTATAGACATGTGTTTCAGTAAAACACAATTTATTTTAGTTATTTTTTGAACATTTATCCCAAATCACCAAGTAAAAATATCACCACATTTTCAAACACAATTTTACAGAAAAGGTAGCAAACAATCAAAGGAACTGTTCTTTAAAACTTAAATAAGTTAAAGAAAACAAGTCAATATCTAAAAAAAAAACAAAAACGAATTTCCATCACCGCTTTCCTGCTTTTTAATCTTTCACATCGTCGCTGGGTTCATCACCTAATCAGTAAATCATTAGGCCAAATGACGCCTTCTTGTATTTAAACCACAATGGCAGGAAATGAATATTATCTGAGTAGAAATGCTGATTTTAAAATGAAAATTACAGCCGTCTCTTTTCCAAAAGCTTCCTATAATAACATCTCTGATTTGATCTAAGCTCCTTTCTTTATGAAAATCTTTTTTTTTTTTCCATCTTGTACAATGAAACAAATTAATGATTTGCCAGCTTGAGGCCACAGTTTCTTGCTTTTACTCTCTTCATCGTTGCATCATCAGAGGAAAGGAGCCTTTAGACAAAGAGAAAGAAGGACCGACACTAATGACGCTGACATTCGCCTTCGTGTGGCAACATGCGCCTCCAAGGCATGTTATTCATCTCAGGTGCTTTGCTGTTTGACACAAATTTATTCAAATCATGCAACCTACGTTAACTCGTATTGCTCATTCTCAACAGACTGTAAAATCCTAAAAAGATTTATTTAATTCAACATCTTTAAATACAGACTGCAAACTATTACAGTTAAAACGTAAGGAATTGTAGATACCATTGTGTTTATAAGTTAATGCTAAAAGTTTTACAGTAATAAAGTAGTAACTTTTATATAAACGTCAAATAAACAAAATCCTGGAACGCATACCAACGATTTCTAATCATATAATTTGTGTAGATGTGAGGATAGATTGGTATTCAGGTACTATTTTGTATATATATAATATATATAAATAAAGCTTGACAATTGGTGCCAGTAGTAGTGGTGGGATGTAAAATAAAAGACAAACTCAAACTGTCCATTCTGCTTGCTGATATCAGAGAGAGCAAAGCTGCATAAGTCATTCATTCAGGGTTGATTTCTGCAGTAACGTGTTTATAGGATCATTTCAGGATTGTGAGAAACATTGACACTTTTTATTCTGCTAGAGAAATCAAGCTAACAACAGTCACGTCTCCTTGAAAAGATAAAATCCTCATCGAATCTTCCACAAAATCTTCTGAAAGGGATCGAATGCAGCATTATTTTTCCAAGGCAATAAAAAGCAAATTGCATCGATATGTGTGTGTGGGTGTGTGCTTGTGTGTAGGTGTGTGTGTGTGTGTGCAGATGTCATGGTGTGGAAAACCAGACCCCACACACCTTTACTTTTACACAAATGGCACAAACACAGGGGAGAAATCAATAACGTCTCTCTGAGGGACAGTTTGTTGTGTGAATGGAGGACAAAGGGCTGCAGCTGTTCCTCCTCTGTCTGCTGTCCCTCCTGATCTGAACCTGAGTTAATACATCCTGTCAGGGTGAGGGACTCGTTACTACCGATTTCACTTTCTTCCCATCTGCTCTTATTACCAATTCTTCATCTTTGGTTCATGTCACTCAGTAAGAGTAAGCCTCTCTCAGTTTACCTGCAGCTCATCTCAAACTGCTCTCTTCCTGCACCGTCAGCCAAGTTATGATTTTATGCTTCCTCCTCAGAAGCAACTCAATAAAACTATGAACATGTTGGAACTTCTATATCATAATGTGAGGCTGTTTAAGGCTGCAGGCAAAAAGGAGAGAAACAACAAAAGGGAAATCTATTTACGGTATAAGTGAGGATACTTAGAAAGTTAAATCCTTTTTTTTTTTTCCACTTTCTGCATGAAATGAAGCACATCCAGCACAGATATCCTAATGGTCGCCGGTTATTTATGATGTGGTGTCTCTTTCATTTACAGATCATCCCATCATTTTGGTTTTTCGGAACTTCTCATGGGAGACGAGGCAATTAATGTCAGCATCAACAGTCTGGATGGAGCCGCAGCAACAAAGAACGCTCTTCAAAAAAAAAACCGACTCAGACGTTTGCAGCCCAGATATTTTCCCTCTGAATCATTTGAGTTGATCATAAAACATCTGGAACTTTTAAATTCAATCTGTCTGGTTCTGGACTCTGATCCAGTTCAGCGGGAGGCAGGTTTAAAAAGTCATTTATGTACATTTATGGCTGTTCCTGCATTTTGGGGTTTTGTTTACTGTGTTTTTGTTGCAATAAATGTAACAAAATTACAAAAACAACAACAACAACTAATTTTTAAATTGCCTTATAGAGAAAGATTGAAGAGCCGACAAGAGCTTTTCTGCACAGCAGTGGCTTGGGCAACATTTCACTTTCATATCACTGGACAAGGAGTGTTTCCAATGATTGGCTTATTCTGAAAGTAAAAAAACAACAACATTTGTTAGAGCTTATGTAAGTGGGTTGCTTCTCAAACTGATCAGAGCATATTCTAATATCTATAATGAAAATCTGGAAGCTCATTTTTAGAAATGATACCAACTTCAGATACCAGAAAATCTACCCCAAAAAAAACCTCAATCAAAATGCTGTTTTCTACTAATATATCTCCTTTGCATATCTACAGAGGTTTTAATTGATGCACCTTGAATTCCTAGATAATTTATCCTCCTTTGTAATCTGTTTGTTGTCCCGTTTTCCTTTGAAAGCTCGAACATCAAAGCCCTGCTGGTTGGGTCTCTTTCATAAATCACAAATGGCGTTCGACCTCAGCTGACCCTCTTCTGCCGCAGCATTTGCAATGACCATTTTAGCACATCAAAGATAAATCAACCGTGTCCATAAACTGACATCCATTTCTGAAACTGAAAGGACCTGACGGATGAAATATCGAAATAACAAAAATTGTCCATGAAAGAACAACGAGCCAAACGTCTTAGTAAATCGCAACAATCCCCTTTTTTACATCTGTGTCTCTGTGGGAGATCAGGCCCATTAAGGAGGCATTACAGAGCCCACTCCACTCCACTCCGACTGAAAGATGTCACAGAGTGAAGTCGGCCTGGCTCTGTGTGACTGATGACTCTCAGCGGGGCACCGTCTCTACAGAGGTACCAGAAATGGGTCCATCCTTCAGAAAACCACGATGGCTTTCAGACTGAGAGACAGAGTTTAAAAAATCCAACCTGACCCCGTCCTGATCCGACCCGACTAAATAACTTATGGGCCAGAGTCCGGAGTAAGTCTAACATTATATTATTTAAGATTTCACTGCTTTTAGACCACGGTGTAAGTAAGTAAGCAGTGTTTACTTACTTACACTCCTGTTTTTAGCTCCATCTTGTCGCTTGTTGTAACCGCAGGGTGAGTCAAGTGAAAATCAATCGGGAAGTGTGACTGATAGGAGCGGAGCCGCCTGCGCGTTGTGGAGTGTGCTGCTGCGCTTGTTACAGTCTGGATAACTTCTGCATCCTTCCTACTGTCTTTATTTCCTCCACAGGTTAAACCATCTACTCCCCCATTTATGATAAGCAGATTAACATAACTTTTTATTGTGCCTTATTGTTTGGTTTGTATTGAATATTGTTTGTATTCTTAAATCCTGAGCTGTTTTGTGAATCCTGGGTCTGGCTTGGGCCATAATTCCAAACTCTATTGTGATATAAGCATTTGTGCAAACAGAACCTACATGTAGAAGCATACATCGCAGCGTCTGGCAAAACAATTACTGCTTGGTAAACGAAGTGATGACCTACAAGGAGCACAAGCAAACTGAAGTAAATAATGATCCGGCCACACCCAAAACATTAGCCATAGTTATAAATCATTCCTCAGCAGCAGGAGAGAAAACAGCCTGCGTTACATGGATAACAGACCAGAACGAGTGGAACCGATGTCAGAAGAGGGATGATGCCCTGGCAGATGTGGCGTTACAAAGAACCTGGTCATTAATTCATGATGGCAAGTTATGAAAGCAGGACAGAGGGGAAAACGGTGGGAAAGATTAGGAAACAAACCTGTTCAAAGAATTCCTCCATGAAGCCTTTGTCCATCCCCACAGCGACTTCATCCTCTTCTTCTGTCGTCTCCTTGCCCTGCACACAAGATACTGCTGTTATCAAAGAGAGACTAAATAAAACTGAATAAGTAAAAGACTGCAAACACATTTATAAACTGCATTAATGTTGATAAAGTTGAGATCAGACGACTTCTTTTGCATAATTGGAGGTTAAATAAAACGGCATCAACCCTCTCGCTCCTTCTCCACCCATCAGCTGATTAGAGACAAGGAGCACTTTAGTAATTAGAACCACAGATAGAGTGATTAACAACTTATTTAATTATGACCTGGAGGCAAATTGAATGTTTGTGGGGTTTTTTTTTCTTCTTCTTCATTTTTGTACATCTCCATTAACACATAGAACAGAAGAACACATAGAAAGTTGATATTTACACACAATTTTAAAAAAAATGCAGACCTTTTTTCTCTTCTGGTCAGCATTATTGCCCAAAGTCTTGCTACATGTCAGGATAATGAGAGAGGGGTTTTTTATAGAGATTTTTAAATATTTTTATTAGACTCAAAAGTCATTGAGACTTTAGCTAAATTTGGAAGAAACTGGAAATGTCTCAGATGTGCTAATGTTTTATAAAACCTGAGTTACGGCCTCGTCGTGCGCTGACTGCGTCGGTTTAAATTTTGGTTTCAGGGAACCAAGAGGCATTCAGGATCCTTCATGATGATTTTAAAATAATGCAACCATAACCAGGCACACAGGAGGAATATTGTGGAGCCACGAGTGGGAGAAAGGAGTGGTGTCTGGTTGGTTGAATTAGCAAAAAGAGACATTTAACAAAAAAAGTCTCTCAACAAAGTCTAACTCCAGAACCTGAATAAAGGAATGGATCGTTAGCAGGAACAATCAGGATTTAATGACATCCTGAAGATGAAACACATCTAAACTATGACCCTCAAAAATTTAAATAAGTGAAAATTGAGTCCAAATTATCTGAGAATATCCTAGATGTCACCTGGAAAGCCTGGAATCTCCTGTCTGACAGCGAAAACGTGACCTCATCAGCAGCAGCACACGGTCGACATCAGACAGGTCTTTTTCATGAATCATGTAAATTCAGACAGAAAACATGAACATAAAAGAGAACATTCTAATTTCCCGTCATGTAGCCGGTGATTCATCATGAAATAAATGCTTATTCCTAATCACATATCAGCCATTATGCTGCATTAGCAGGGATCTCATGTGGCTTCATCTCATTCATTTGGCCCCTGTCAAACTAATTCACAGGCCCATTATGAGATCCATTTGCTTATCAACATTGTAATGGCAGGCTGGCTGCACTTTTCATCTTCATCTGATGTTCCTTCATTTTATTCAGGGATTTTAACAGGAGACAACTCTGACCCACCTACGTCTGCAATTTCTTTCCAAATCTTCACTTTATTAAAAAAAAAAAAAAAAAAAAAAAAGGGGGAATCAGTGAAATCTTGTTTGTCAAAATTGGCTACAGTGAGAGGATTTTCATGAGAGCTCCAGTCAGAGGAGGGATCCTGTAAGAGCTTCAGATGTAGCTTCAGATGTACTCTCTGGTCTCTTTCAGGCATTAAGTCCAATCAATATTTAAAACACACAGATGTACAGAGACATTATGATCAAACTATTATTATTATTATGAGCTTCATACGCTGGCTGCTCCATTCACCCAGACAAAGGCAGGAGAGTGAATGCATTACATTCACTGGGAGACATAAAGCTTACAGTCAAATGAGGCAGATAAACAAATATCTGATGGGAAGAAGAGTTATCCAGTCTATGCAACATTAATCTACAGCTTAATGTTTAAAGCACTCAGACTCGTTTGTAGGCTTATGGATGTAAATGTCTTCCTACTGAAAATACTGTATGGGATTTTGGTTCTTTTCTAAATATTGGAGCGATTTAAATACTTCTGTCAAATTCAGTTTAATGAATTAAACTAAACATGTTTTTAATGTTGAAAAAATAAGCCACGAG